GCCATCTGCTCCCAGAAGACAGCAACCTGACGGGGGACGCTGCACACTCCTGGGGCCGCAGCAGGATGCTGTGCAGCCTTCTAACCTGCTGGTCACCAGAGCTCGCCTAGATGTCTTCCTTTAACTACAGCACAAGTTCAGGGCCATTGTCTCCACTAGGTACTGTTCCCTTTTGATTGTCCAGCAGCGCTGACAACTTCTTTCTCTGAATTCTTAGTACAACTCAGCAATAATGCTACAAATTACCAGCTGTTTCCTAGTAAATGAAAATGAGTGTTCGTTCCATTTAGCCATAGAAAACACATGAATACTCAGAGGTACAAACATCTCTTTTAGACAACACGTCACTTGAATCCAAAGAAAGTTTTGAATGATTGAGTGAATCAGGGTATGTGGTAATTCAGGCTGGCTTTGAACTCACTCTGTAGCCCAGACTGGCCTCAATCTGGCAGCGATCCTCCTGCCTCAGCCTCCTGAATATTGGGATTGCAGGCACATGCCACTACACTCCGCAAGCAAGGTGTTTTTATATAATATAAACAAAAATAGCTGGATGTGGTGGCACATACCCGTAGCCCCACCTAATGGGGAGGCTGACACAGAACCGCTTAAGCCCAGGAGTTTGAGGCTAGCCTGGGAAATGTAATGATACCTCACCTATTACCAAACAAAAGGGCCAAGGTAACAGAAAAATAAGCATTAAATGTCATCTGAACTCTCTGGTGGATAGCTAACATTCTCAGGATAGATCCAAAATTTTACATTTCACAATTTGCAGTGGTGTTTGTGGATTCTGGGCTTTTGCTTCAATTACTTCCTCCGAACTGCTTACTGCCTATGCCTACACAACAGTTTTTGCTTGATGACTAATTTTTAGCTGGACATGATAGTGGCCACTGTCACAAGCACTTTCTGAGTCATGAAGAACTATTACCACTGCTACCATACCCACAGAGAAGAGGAGCACAGGGTTATGTAACGTGGGAAAATTATCCAGCTGGTTAGTGGTGGGTTTGGGATAGCAACGTCCACATCTGGCTTCTCAGTGCACTCAATAACCTGCTTTCATACAGCTAAGCAAAGAGTGGAAATATAGAACACACCATTCCCTAAAAAATATCTAGATCAACACTATAGTCTTTCTTTTGTGTGTGTGTGTGTGTGTGTGTGTGTGTGTGTGTGGTACTCAGGAACCTGCGCTTGCCAGGCAGGCGCTTATTCTACTGAGCTATCTCCCTGGCCCCAACACTGTAGTCTTTAACTGATCCAACCCTCCTGATTAAAAACCTTAACTTCCTCACCCAGTATACTAGTAATAGCAGGCATATCCGAGCCAGCCAGCCCAAGCAGTTTGGTTCCCAGGGAATCACTTTGTGTGTATATCAACACAAAGAAAGCCAGCATCTTATAGCAGTTTTAGAACATGTCACTAAAGCTACACAAGTGACAATCTCTGCTCATACCCCAAGCTAATGACGCAACCTCTTAGTAACAAGAGGGCAAGATAGGAAGAAGCGATGGCCAGGGAACACCACTGGCCTGACCTTATACAAAACTGTCCCTGGCACCTGGCTCACACTAAGCTAGGTAGAACCACACCCATGAAGATGGCTAAAGTGACAAGACCGCCAATACCAAGCAGCCAGAGGGTGTGCAGCAATCTAACCCCAGACTTTCCTGGCGGCAGCACAAATTGGCACAAGCACTGGGGAGTTTTGTTGGGTGGCTTCTGAGAGCCAAACCCCAACATTTCTGCTCATTATTCCTTTTCAAAGAAGAAAGGCAAGCGCTGCACTGTGCACAATGGCTCAGAGCACCTTCATTTGTCATAGCATGGCAATTAATACTGTGAACTTACATTAGTAAGTGAATGTACAGGCAAACTGTAATGGACACACACAGTAAGGGCTACTCAACAATACAACAGAAACATTAAAACATGCAACAAAGCTACGTCTACAAGGCAGCTCATCCTACAGCAGGAGCCCACTTACACAGAGCAGCGTGGGAGAGCGGGAGAAATGCTTTAACTGCGCACAGGGAAGAGCAGGGAGGCAGCAGGCGACTGCAGGCTGAGTGCTGCGGCTGCGGCCCAAGGGGCAAAGCACTCCAGAATGTGACCCGGAGTCACACAGGGGCTGGGAGGGCGGGGTGCTGTGTAAGAAACTGCTCCTTCATTCAGTTTCATTTCAAAGGAACGTGAAAACCTACTTAATATGATGTAGAACTTAAGCTGTTACATTAAGGTGCAAACAACTGTCCCTCTTGTCACTGAACTCTTGACAAAAACACCTTACAAATACATCAATGTTTTTGTTTTTTGGTTTGAGACCACTTGATGGTATCTTAATTAATCAGGCCCAGGGCCTGCGACACAGCTGTCAGGCACTGGGAAGCCATGCTGCGCCAGGCTGGAAGCAGGACAGAGCCCCGCACGTCAGGCCCAAGCCTGGCCCGAGAGCCGCTCACTGGGCGTGGAAGGCAGGGCAGACTCACCCGTCACCTACCCCTTACCTTAATCCTCCCTTCTGTGCCAGACACCAAACCACAAAGAGAAGTTCAGTGTTCAGAATGGGGAATTAACTTTAAGAAAACTACTTTTTAATAATTCAAAAATGGTCTAGTGTGACAAATGAATTTTACTGCCTAACATAAGAAGATTGCTCCTACCTTGTCTCCCTTGCTTACTCGGCTACAAAGCAAGAAAAGCCAAGTAGATTTCATTCTGGCTAACATATTTGTTTGTATTTAATAACTAAATTCTCAAACACAGAATTTTAAAGTTTACATAAAAACTCATGAATTCATATAAAATTATTCATTAATACTGTTCATTAAAAGTGTGAACAAGGTCAATACAGCAGCATAGGCCTACAGGGATAGCTACCCAGGAGGCCAAGGCAGGAAGATCATTCCATCACAAGAGTTTGAAGCCACCCTGGGAAATACAGCAAGATCCTGCCTCAGACAGAATGTGGGAATGACCAAGAAATTTTTCAAGTAGTACGTAGATTATCAAAAAGTGCTATAGTCATATAAAGGGATGTAATCCACCAACAATAATGAACAGGCACCAGTCATCAGTGACTATTACTTAAAACAATGACAACAACACACACACAGAGTAAAACTTGTGTGGAAAAATGCACTGTGGTGGGAATGTAAGGTGGTGTGGTGTGCTTGCTGTGGAAAACAACATGTTAATTCCCTGAAACATTAAGTGAAGAATTAGCACATGACCCAGTGTCTACTTCTGGCTACATGCCCATAGAACCGAAAGCAGGGGCCAGACCTCTTTACACCCATGTGTACAGTAGCAGCATTACTGAATTTTTAATCTTATCACCGGCTTGCTTCTGGAATTTTCCATGTACTGGTTTTGGACTGTAGCTCACCAGAGGTAACTAAAGCTGTGGACAGCAATGCTGTGAAGGAGAATCACCACACAAGACAGACAGGAGGAGGGCTGTGACACAGGGACGCACACTCGAGCAGAACCCCCTAAGCCTTCCCAATAGTGACCCCCACAATGTGGTCAGTCACCTCAGCTCTCAAGCCTCCCATTTCCCAACCATGAAATGAAAGTGCAGGGCTACATGGCATCCTTTGTTCTTTCCTCAACCCTATAAATACAGACTTGTACTTTGAATGACTTGAATGGCGCATTTTAAACAGCATCTCAGTAGTTCAGCTTCCACGAAGCCCCCAAAAGGTGAGAGCAGTGTCCCTGCATCGGACAGAAATATTGGCCTCGTGCTTAGCTTAACTCGAGCCCCACATTCCTACAACCATGAATTTTTATTTTCAGCCTTTATCTTTTAATCAAGTTTTCTGCAGAAACTTGAATTTGTGACTCTATTTTTTGTTCTGTAATTTAATTTGTTAAATTCTTGCCTCGTTTAACTGACTTAAGATGTGTCCATCTCTACGGAGTACAGTGTGATTATGTGCCACACATCCAACATGTTGCTGAACCACAGTGCTAACAAGCACAGCCCTCTCTCCAAACACTAGTCATTCTGATGGGACTGTCCTCAGTGTCATAGACCTGCAGATCTGAAAGGGCCAGAATGGCGAATCCTGTGTATGTGTATTTGTCACGTCAATCTTTCCATAAATGGGAGGGGGAAAAAATGGAGCATTGGTAACCCTGTAACATAGATTAGCCCTTTGAGTTACTCCCAGGCTTCAGGGCCTTTTTGGGGACTGCAATGCTAGAAAAGAAGCCCATAGTTACTTTTGTATACTGTTCAGAAAAAAAAAAAATCAAACTACATAAGGAGATGCTTTATAAAAGCAGAGTATTAAAATTCATACAGTTTAGTTCTTTTCAAAGGGCCTGAGGAAGAAAGGCCGACCCCAGGGACCGTGCAGTGCCTGCCTCCATGTGTTCTATGACCCTACAGACACTGACCATCCCCAGTGGAAAGGGCCCCAAACGAGCAGCTGCAGAGTTGCATGGTGAGGCTCAAGTGATTGCTACTGTGGAGGGCGCTTGTTTCTGAAGGCGGATGAAATGTTCTGGAACCAGCACTGTGACGACACAACGTTATTAATGGACTCAACACCCTGAACTGAGTATTTCTAAACAGTGAGTTACAAGGTCTAAGAGCATCTTCATTTTCTGAAGCCACAGGAGTTAAGCACTCTTCTCTGTCCTGTTTTACAGAACTACAAACTGAAGAACAGACAGTTTAATTTTTCTAGGTGGTGCAGCCTAGATTTGAATTTAATCTCTTTGGCCTCAGAACTTATGCTTCATTTCATCATATCATTTCATTTTTGTCTTTTTTTTTTTTTTTTTTTAAACCAAGAAACACAAGCAAAAATCTGCTCTGAGACTAGAGCAGGTTCCTGCATGTTCTGACAGAGACCTAGGATTACGAAGCTATCCTTTGGGAGTGGGTATGAGACAACCAAATACCCATCGATGACCACTGGCCGAGGACCCTCTGGCAAGGGCGGCAAGCCCAAGGCAGGCACAGTATTCTGCTTTTCTTTTAAGACAAAAGATGTTGATGTGTTGGGGGTTTTTCCAAACTAAAACCTCAGTGTTTAGGTTAACCGCAGTGCTGACACTGCAATACATGCAGGGCTTTGGGTTGCAGTCTGAGTGCTCACTCTCTGAAAGGCTCACCACCACTGGCCTCTGCTGTGTGAGCTTCCTTAATAGCGGGAGCTATTAAAAGACAATGCTCCGCAGGCCCAAAGAACATGCCCTGCACATCGAGCACACGGCAGGAACCACTCTAATCCCAGCGAGTGTCCAAGTGATCCTTAAACACTTTTTTTTTTTAATTTTTTTTATTTATTTGTGTGTGTGTGTGTGTGTGTATGTGTGTGTGTGTGTATGTGTCCAGCTCAGCCCACCAGGGGGCGGGGCTGGCTGGCATGTGGTGCTGGGGGATTGAACCGCGGTCCCTGTCCTTTTGCTGAGCTTGTTCTAAGTAGGTGCTTTAGACCACTGAGCCATCTCACCAGCCCTAAACACTTTTTCTTAAAACAAGTATAAAAGGGGAAAAAATTTTCATGTTACCCTCCATTTTACTATTGAAAAAGGATAACCTTTTAGAGATTACCTTGAAAGAACAGTGTGACATGATCTATGACCATCATCTTGGGCATGTTCAAAATTTTAATTATAGACCTTTAAGGGGCTGGAGGAGTAGCTCACAGCACAGTGCCTGCTTGGCAAGCGCAAGGCCCTGAGCTTAATTCCCAGTAACCCCCTCACCCCCAAAGTTCCTCTTACCATAGGCTGCTATTTATATATAGCACTAGTTTTGTGAAAGCTCACTTGCCTAACACTACAGCACATGGCCGTCCACAACTAGTGCAGCAAGTCAAAGAGCCAGTGAGAGTGCACCAGGATGGACTTACCCTCCACAGTCACCTCAATTTCAGGGACCTTCGAGTTACTCCCAGGGCTTCGGGGCCTTTTTGGGGACTGCAATGCTAGAAAAGAAGCCCATAATTACTTTTGTGTACTGTTCAGAAAAAAATCAAACTACATAAGGGGATGCTTTATAAAAGCAGAGTATTAAAATTCATACAGTTTGGTTCTTTTCAAAGAAACCTGAAGAATTAAACTGGTAGTGTAATCCTCCACATGAGTCTCAACAAAGCTGTGGAAACATGAATGAAGGAGGATTGCAAATGTGAAATTTTCAATGAAATGTTAAGAAAAAAAGAGAAAGAAAAAAGCTATTTTAATAAAAATAAAATAGCTTAAAAGGCAAAGAAACAAAATCAAAAGCCCCACAAAGATAATGGCCAATGAGTCACTATGATAAGTAGTGTTGACAGAGTGTTGTAATGCACTGAAGCACAATAAAGAAAATTTACATAATCTCTTACCTTTAGTGTTAATTTTACCAGCCATGCCGGGAGGCAGGTAGGAAACAACAAGCTCAGGTCTGGAAATAAAAGCCACAAATATTAAAATGGCCTGTACCATGGCTAGCACAAATGTTCATGGCCAGTGCTTCAGAAGTAGAAAATTATTTAGTTTTGTTCTGCAGAGAGGTAAATAAACTCACTGGGCCAGGGATATCGCTCAGTGGCACAGCACCTGCCTGGTGACGGCAAGGTCCTGAGTTCAATTTCTGGTTCAAAAGAATGAACGAATGAAACAAACAAACAACCACACTCACGGATACTCAATTATCAGATGGACCAGGAACAACAGAACGGATTACAAAACCAGTATTTTATGCCGGCAATGGTAACACATATCTGCGCACTCTGGGAGGCTGAGGCCAGAAGATCAGAAATTCAAGCTCAGCCTGGGCAACTTAGGGAGACTTTTGTTTCAAAATTTAAAGAGGAGGGAGGGTGCTTGTACTGGGACTACAGCTCCGTGTGAAGGCCCTGGGCTCAGTCAATCAGCATTCTGGGCTGGCATTCAGGCGCCCTAACTAGCATGGCGAGGCATCTCTTCCTCTCCATGTACTAGTCAGGAAGTGAGGCGAAGCCCAAGGGTAGAGCCAGGCCCCACTCAGAGCAGTCTTTCCCATCAAGGACAAGGCCATCCCTCTTACTTAGACACAAAAATTATGCCAAACTGTGGGGCTGGAGAGATGGCTCAGTGGTCTAAAGCACCTACTTGGAACAAGCTTGGCAAAGCATCAGGGACCGCGGTTCAGTCCCCCAGCACCACATGCCAGCCGGCCCCGCCCCCT